AATCAGATATCCATGATATCCACTACTGCGGGTAAGAACCTCTTACAAGAAATGGAGTATCCCTCATGGTCACCAAAAGAGTTCAAAATGTGGTACATGGGTGCAGTCTCAAAAATGACAGAATGATCTTGGTTCATTTCCAAGGCAAACCATTTAACATCACAGTAACTCAAGTCTATGTCCAAACCACTAATGCTGAAGAAGTTAAAGCTAAATGGTTCTATGAAGACCTATGAGACCAACTAGAACTAACGCCATCAAAGATGTCCTTTTTTCTCATATGGAATTGGAATGCAAAAGTAGGAAGCTAAGATTTACCTGGAGGAACAGGCAAGTTTGTCTTTGGAGTACAAAATGAAGCAGAGCAAAGGTTAACAGAGTTTTGTCAAGAGAATACACTGGCCACAGTAAACACCCTCTTTCAACAACGTTAAGAGATGACTCTATACATGGACATCACCATAGGGTCAATAACAAAGTCAGATTGATTTTATTCTTTGAAGCCAAATTGGAGAAGCTCTACACAGTCAGCAAAAACAAGATCTGAAGCTGACTGTGGCTCAGATCATCAGCTCCTTACTGCAAAATTCAGGCTTAAATTGAAGAAAGTAGGGAAAACCACTAGGCCATTCAGGTATGAAATCCCTTATGATTATACAGTGTAGGTGATAAATAGATTCAAGGGATTAGATCTGGTAGACAGAGTATCTGAAGAACTATGGACAGGATTCATAACATTGTACAGGAAGCAGTGACCAAACCATCCTAAAGGAAAAGAATGCAAGAAGGCAAAGTAGTTGTCTGAGAAGGCTTTACAAACACCTTTAAAAAAAAAAAAAGAGGAGTGAAAGGAAAGGAGAAATAGAAAGATATACCCATCTGAATGCAGAGTTCAAGAGAATAGTAAGGAGAGATAAGAAAGCCTTCTTATATGAACAATGCAAAGAAAAATAGAAGACAATAATAGAATGGGAAATACTAGAAATTTCTTCAAGAAAATTGGAGATATAAAGGCAATATTTCATGCAAGGATAACACAATAAAGGACAGAAACAGTAAGGCCCTAACAGAAGCAGAATAGATTAAAAAGAGGTGGTAAGAATACACAGAAGAACTATACAAAGAGGTCTTAATAACCAGTGATAACTGGACGTAGATAACCAGGACGGTATGGTCAATCGCCTAGAGCCAGACATCAGGGAGTGTAAAAGGTTGAAGTGGGCCTTAAACAGCATTACTACAAAGCTAGTGGAGGTGGTGAAATTCCATGTGAGCTATTTAAAATCCTAAAAAGATGACGCTGTTAAATACAAGCACTCAATACATCAGCAAATTTGGAAAACTCAACAGTAGCTACAGGACTGGAAAAGGTCAGTTTTCATTCTTATCCCAAAAAAGAGCAATGCCAAAGATGTTCAAACTACTGTACAAGGTTTGCTTGTACGGTAAGGTTTTCTTATACTGCAAGGTTTGCTCAAAATCCATCAAGCTAGGCTTCAGCAGTCTGTGAACGGAGAACTTCCAGATGTACAAACTAGATTTAGAGAAAGCACAGGAACCAGAGATCAAATTGCCAACATTTGCTGGATCATAAGAGAAAGCAAGGGAATTCCAGAAAAACTTCTGCTTCATTGAGTACACTAAAGTTTTGACTATGTGGATACAACAAACTGTAGAAAAATTCTTAAAAAGATGGGAATACTAGATCACCTTACCTGTTTCCTGAGTAACCTGTATGCAGGTCAAGAAGCAACAGTTAGAACTGGACATGGAACAATGGACTGGTTCAAAACTCGTAAAGTCAAGGCTATATATCATCTCTATGCTTATTTAACTTCTATGCAGAATACATCATGCAAAATACCTGGCTGGATGAATCACAAGCTGGAATCAAGATTGCTGGGAGAAATATCAATAACCTCAGATATTCAGAGGAAACCACTCTAATGTCAGAAAGCAAAGAGGAACTCAAGAACCTCCAGATGAGCATGAAAGAGGAGCGTAAGAAAGTTGGCTTGAAACTCAACATTCAAAAAACTAAGATCATGGCATCCGGTCCCATCACTTCATGGCAAATAGATGGGAAAACAATGGAAACAGTGACAGATTTTATTTTCTTGGCCTCCAAAATCACTGCACACCTTGACTGCAGCCATGAAATTAAAAGACACTTGCTCCTTGGAAGGAAAGCTGACAAACCTAGACAGCAATTTTAAAAGCAGAAACATCACTTTTCTGACAAAGGTCTATATATTTAAAGCTGTGGTTTTTCCAACAGTCATGTACAGATGTGAGAACTGGACCATAAACAAGGCTATTGTTGTTTAGTTGCTAATCGTGTCTGACTCTTTGCAACCACATAGACTACAGCCTGCCAGGCTTCTCTATCCATGGGATTTTCCAGGCAAGAAACTGGAGTGGGTTGCCATTTCCTTCTCCAGGGGATCTTAATGACCCAAGAATGGAACCCATGTCTCCTTCATTGACAGGTGATTTCTTTTACCAATATAGCCACCAGGGAACGAAGGCTGAGCCCCAAAGAATTGATGCTTTCAAATTGTGGTGCTAAAGAAGACTGTTGAAACTCTCTTGGACAGCAAGGTATTTTTCCAGGTGGTGATAGTGGTAAAGAACCTCCTCCCAAAGGAGGAGACACAAGAGATGCAGGTTTAATCCCTCGGTCCAGAAGACTCCCTAGAGAAGGGCCTGGAAACTCACTCCAGTATGCTTACTTAGAGAATCCCATGGACAGAGGAGCCTGGCGGTCTTCAGTCCATAGGGTCGCAAAGAGTTGGCCAGCAAGGAAATGAAACCAGTCAATCCTAAAGAAAATCAACCCTGAATATTCACTGGAAAGACTGATGCTGAAGTTGAAGCTACAATACTTTGGCCACCTGATGCGAAGAGCTGACTCACTAGAAAAGACCCTGATACTGGTGCAGATTGAGGGTAGGAGGAGAAGCAGGCAGGAGAGGATGATAAGGTTGGACAACATCATCAACTCAATGAATATGAGTTTGAGCAAAGTCTGGAACATAGTGAAGGACAGGGAAACCTGGCACGCCGAGGTCCATGTGGTTGAAAAGAGTCCGACATGTGAATAGCAACGACAATAAAAACTGACAATCCCATACCCTGGTGCCTCTCTTGCCTTCCAAGATGACCCACACTCTGTCTGTGGAGTCTGTTTCTCTCTGAATAAACCTTCTTTCACTTTAAAGAAAAAAAAATGCTACATTAAAATATAAGGTGAGAAAATGATGCCTGTGATTTCTGGCAACCATAATATGACAGTATTTGCATAATATGATATAATATGCAGAATGGATATGTTTTATTTTACATAATAACCTTGACTCATACTATTTTACAGGGTCAAAAAGAGACACTACAAAATTTTTAACTATTTAAGTGTTAACAATCTATAAACTATGAAGAAAGAAAAATGAAGTTCAGTAGTTAAAGGTTTAAACACATGTACCAGTCAGAACCCTCCTACCCTGCTGGTGGAAATGTAAATGGTACAACCATTAGGTAGAAACGTGTGAAGTTTCACTAAAAATACTAAAAATAGAGCTACCATATGATTCAGCAATTCCATTCCTAGGCTTATATCTGGAGAAAATCATAATTTGAAGAGATACATGCACCCCAATGTTCATTGCAACAGTATTTACAATAGCCAAGACACAGTTATCAACCTAAATGTCCATTGACAGACACGTGTATAAAGAAGATACCGTACATATATACAATTAAATATTACTCAGCAATAAAAAAAGGATGAAATATAGCCATTTGTAGCAACATCAGATGGACCTAGAGATTACCATACTAAGTCAAAGACAAATGTCATATCACTTATATGTGGAATCTAATTTTTTTTAAAAATAACACAAATGAACTTATTTATTAAAAATAAGACAACAGAACTTATTTACAAATATCAAAAACAAACTCATGATTACCAAACAGAAAATGTGGCTGGGAGGGTTAAAGCAGGAGCTTGGGATGAACATACACACACTACTATATATAAGATAGATAACCAACAAGGACCTACTGTTTAGCACAGGGAACTCTACCCCAGTAAAGTTAAAATTTTTAAATTTTTTTTAAATTTAGAATTTGGGGGACTTTTCTGGCAGTTCAGTGGTTAAGACTCCATACTTCCAGTGCAGAGGGTTCAGGTTCGATCCCTGGTTGGGGCACTATGACGCTACACAGCACAGTCAGAAGATTTACACACACACACACACACATATGTTAAAAAAGAGTAAGAAAGTATGCTTATATCAAGAAGAGTGCAACAAAGAACTCCAGCAGCACCAAAGTCCTCATCTGAAACTCTTGGAGCTATAATTATTTAGGGTTAATACTTAAGAAAGTTAGTAATAATGCATATAACAAATTACAGAAACCTTCAGTGGGATGAGAGCCGCATCCTATACTCAAACATGTTTATATTTCTGCCATGAAACATACACTTTCACAGTGAGTATGAGAAATAAAGATCATAATGAGAGTCAATTCCATTAGGCCAAATTTCACCATGAAATCAGTTATTTAAATAAAATCTTTGGATTTTCAAAGTTATTTGAATTTCCTAGTTACAAAAAAAAAAAAGGTTTGTGATCCTAAATCTGGTTTGCCTCATTTTATGTAAGTGTTAACAGTAGCTAGATGAAAACTTTGTGGCTCTCTTACCACCTCTGTAGTAATTCAATGTTTTTAAGAAATCCAACATTTAGAAACATAACTTGACATCAGACATACTCTGTTTTATAATTTGACTTTTCCCCTAGAAAATTACATCAGTAGATTTTTTTGCCCTACTGGATACAATGATCAAAACCATGAATGTACCGGTCAAGATGATAAATGAACATCTGTTCACAGCGAGACGGGCTACAGTGTTCTCCTGAGTCTCCTGAACTCACAACTGAGGGCCGTGGTATCCGTCCCGAAGAGGGAATTATCAAACGAACCTTCTCACCTACCTGGAGTGCCCTCTGATGTTTTTATCCCCATTCTACAGCAGTACTGAGCAATCCCATAGTCCGCAATCTTGGCGATGATGGCAGCATTGGGATACAGGGTGAAAAGCAAAACATTGTGGGGCTTCAAGTCACGGTATATAATCATGGCCGAATGGAGGTATCTGCCATAAAATGCACAGGAAATCTTATTAAAATGTGAGTATATCATAATATATTTTGGCATGATTTTTTTAAAATACACATATTCACTAGGCAAAGCATCAAAATTCTGTGCTGAGTTTTACCTTCAAAGTTCAAAGGTACTGTAGAAGGAAATCAAAATATGTAAGTCCAGTTTTACTTAGAAAGTTTATGCATTTAAAACAAACTAAAAGACATGTTAGTTCTGATAAGTGATTTAAACTTAAAGGCACAACCACTTTAAGCAGAATATGTATTTTTTTGAGACTTCTTTCCTGTATACTTTAATAATCACTAAAAGGAATTTTGAATCCCCTCAATATCATGTAAGTATTTTAATTGGTTTAAAATGAAAATACATTAAATAAGAATTGATAGTATTTTGTTATAACTCCCATTTATTTAACAATTTTAGAAGTTCTTCCTAGCCTTTAAAATTCTATCTCTCCTTTGAAATTTTTTTTTCTGAATAAAACATTTCCTAACTTTTTGGAAAATATTTTCTACTTTTTCAATAGTTAATAAATTAAAATAAAAGACTTTTTTAAAGCTATTTGTACTGCATCATTTGAAGATGTAATATATTTTAAGCCCAGATCTACTATGAATTATCAAAGAATGACTTGAACTGAGAGCTGGAATGAGTAAACCACTATCTTGGGAAAGGTGATATGGGGAATTTTAAAGTCTTTCCTTTTAGAAATTGATCCATTCAACCATTGGCAATCAGAGTTTGACATTCACTGTAGGTGAAGAATAAAAACTAGTTAATATAAAAAAACAAAACTAAGTTTTCCTCTCAGCCAGGTCTTGTCCATTTTAGAAACATGGCCAAAAAGCTATCACTAGTTCTAAAGTAACGCTATTACCTTTCCTTACCCATCTAANTGTGGTGTTGGAGAAGACTCTTGAGAGTCCCTTGGACTGCAAGGAGACCCAACCAGTCCATCCTAAAGGAAATCAGTCCTGAATTGGAAGGACTGATGCTGAAGCTGAAACTCCAATACTTTGGCCAACTGATGTGAAGAACCAACTTATTGGAAAAGACCCTGATGCTGGGAAAGATTGAAGGCAGGAGGAGAAGGGGACGACAGAGGATGATATGGTTGGATGGCATCATCGACTCAATGGACATGAATTTGAGCAAGCTCCGGGAGTTGGTGATGAACAGGGAACCCTGGCGTGCTGCAGTCCATGGGGTCACAGAGAATTGGACATGACTGAGTGACTGAATTGAACTGAAATTACACTTTTTCACAGAACTTAAGAGAGGTAAATTTAAATCCCTTTTTTGTGGCTTTTGGTTTAGGCTCGCCTTATATCAATAAATATTTGCTCCATTACTGAGTATTAATCACTGCTAGAGGGATTAGGAGCAGAGAGGCAGAAATACCCTGAACTTTCCATTGATTGATGACCTAGAATGTATGGATCATTTAACTTCATCAATAGAAGATTCTTTCTCTTCCAGGATGTAGTTAGAACATTTGGCATTAGGCCTATTCCTTTCAGTAGACATAATTTTGGCTAAAAGTAAGAGAGATATACTAATGAAGCTGACCTTAACAATAAGCAATAGGCTTAAAAGAAAAATTTACTGAGGGCTTACTGAAAGGCCATTAGCTACTCTTATCCTGTTGAAGAGAAAAGCTGGGAGATTAAGAAGAAAAAAGTTAAAGCCAAGTCATACATTACTGAATAGCATACAAATCCTTCCTAATGCATGCCTCTTTCAGAATATTTAAAGACTACAGACTCTCTCAAAACACTTTCCAAAGGTTAAAAAAATTAAACTTAATTTTAAATAATGTCACTGGGAAGGAAAGATTATCTGGATTAGTTAAAATGTTCAATTACAGAATTTAATCTTAAAAGTACAGTTTTAATAGCTTTAAATAGCAGAATAGCTTTCAAAACATAACAAGTACGGATGTTGCCTTAGTAAAAATAATTCAGCCATAATTTATGTATTATATGACAATGATCATTGTCAAATATTTTATTAAAACAACCTAGCTAAACTCAATTTAGTTATTTTTAAATTGTGATTGTTATCAATGTTGCAAAGAAACTCCTTTGTAACTTACAGTAAACTTTATCTCAACCTAAAGAGAATTATTCTAAGAATAGAATATCTTCATTCATTTAACAAATATATATTGGGCACCTATGAGGGACAGTCACTAGGGATATAAAGTCATCCTCATCTCCCTGCTCTTTACGGCCACAATCGAGAGGAAGAGATGGGTATTCTAACAAGATTGCAAAAATGTGATACTTCCCTAGCATTTGGTACTACATCCCTAGTAGTTCCAAAGCAGACTCTCACACTAGACTATAAGTTTTCAATCTTGATAAGAGAAATATAATCTCTATCTTTCTTTCCCCTCTTCAGCCGCCAGTGCAAAGTCCTGCATGGAGCAGAGTCAAGAAACATGTGTTAGCCAGGCCAACTCTTCATGGTGCAATTAGTCATCATGGTGAAGACAGTATGTGAGCAAATTCTAGAGGAATATGAGTTTTCTAGGCGGAGGATTTTTTGACAAGACAGGAATGACAAATGCAAGAATAGACATGGATGCCAATGAGAAGTCAAATCCTTCAGCATGGTTGGAATGAGGGCAATGGAATTAAAGTAGTCTGGAGAGGCAGGCAAGAGGCATACATAAAGAGTTCTGAGGCTATGTCAGGAATTTAGATGTATTCTCCAGATATCTTGAAATGCTAAGGAGTTTCAAGAATGCTTAAATTTTTATTTTGGAATAATATATCAGAAATATTCTGATAATTCCCTGTAAATATCAGACCAAGACAGCAGTAGTGGCATAAAAATAAATTAATAAAGGACCTAGTGGACAAAGGAGTACTTACTTTTGGGGGGAAGGGGATGGTCTGGATGTGACTACAAAGACCTTTGTTGGCAAATGAGATACAAAATAAAAAACAGATTCATGGTGAAATAAGAGAAAATAAATTCAATTTGAAAATATTGAAACACAAACTTATAGGAAATATAGTTTACTACATCTTTAAAGGTTCAGTTCAATTCAGTTCAGTCGCTCAGTTGTGTCCCATTCTTTGCGACCCCATGGACTGCAGCACTCCAGGGCTCCCTGTCTATCACCAACTCCCAGAGCTTACTAAAACTCATGTCCATTGAGCCGGTGATGCTATCCAACCATCTCATACTCTGTCGTCCCCTTCTCCTCCCACCTTCAATCTTTCCCAGCATCAGGGTATTTTCCAATGAGTCAACTCTTTACATCAGGTGACCAAAGTATTGGAGNAATTTTCCAGTTTGTTGTGATCCACACAGTCAAAGGCTTTGAGGTAGTCAATGAAGCAAAACTAGATGTTTTTCTGGAATTCTGTTGCTTTTTCTATGATCCAACAGATGTTGGCAATTTGATCTCTAGTTCCTCCACCTTTTTTAAATCCAGCTTCAACATCTGGAAGTTCTCGGTTCACGTACTGTTGAAGACTAGCTTGGAGAATTATAAGCATTATTACTAGCATTAAAATGAGTGCAATTGTGCAGTAGTTTGAACATTCTTTGGCATTGCCTTTCCTAGGGATTGGAATGAAAATTGACCTTTTCCAGTTTTCTGTATAGTTCTTCTGTGTATTCTTGCCACCTCTTCTTAATCTCTTTTGCTTCTGTTAGGTCCATACTATTTCTGTCCTTTATTGTGCACATCTTAGGCCATTCTGGTATGACCTAAATCAAACCCCTTATGATTATACAGTGGAAGTGACAAACATATTCAAGGGATTAGATCTGAGTGGATTAGACACAGTGCCTGAAAAACTGTGGACAGAGGTATGTGACATTGTACAGGAGGCAGTGATGAAGACCATTCCCAAGAAAAAGAAACACAAAAAGGAAAATTGGTTGTCTGAGGACTTACAAATAGCTGAGAAAAGAAGAGAAGCTAAAGGCAAAGGAGAAAATGAAAGATATACTTACCAGAATGCAGAGTTTCAAAGAATAGCAAGGAGAGATAAGAAAGCCTTGCTAAGTGAGCAATGCAAAGAAATAGAGGAAAAAAATAGAATGGGAAAGACAAAAGAGCTCTTCAAGAAAATTAGAGATACTAAGGGAACATTTCATGCAAAGATGGGCACAATAAAGGACAGAAATAGTATGGACCTTACAGAAGCAGAAGATATTAAGAAGAGGTGGCAAGAATACACAGAAGAACTGTACCAAAAAGATCTTCACGACCAAGATAATCATGATGGCATGATTACTCACCTAGAGCCGGACATCCTGGTGTGAAGTCAAGTGGGCCTTAGGAAGCATCACTACAAACAAAGTTAGTGAAGGTGATGGAATTCCAGTTGAGCTATTTCAAGTCCTAAAAGATGATGCTGTGAAAGTGCTGCACTCAATCTTCAAAGGTAGTTGAGGATTATAATAAAAAGCTCAAAGCAGCAGACAATTTAGAGATACAAGTTAATAGCTGAATACAGAATATGTACAAGATAGATATGCACAAGATAGAATATGTAAAATGAAGAGTTCTTGGATGTCACTCTAAACAGCTCCATCATTTAAGGGGCTGCAGTCATGTGACTTTATTGTCTCTTTATATCTCTAGTTATGGCTCTATGCTAAAATATATTTGGGAAGACAAATCCTAATGCTGAGTTTTTAAGAAACACTTAGTAATGGTAGAAGATTGCTAGATACTAAAATCTATTAGCCTTTTATGGCACAACACCCAGAAGGTACCTTGGCATTATGCTGAAAACAAATCAGGAAAATGACAGGAAAATATGCTGAGATTTCATTTAATTTATCAGCAACTGCTAGACTTATTATTTTAAGTAAGGTCTCTAAGAACCAGAGATCAAACTGCCAACATCCGCTGGATCATCGAAAAAGCAAGAGAGTTCCAGCAATTCATCTACTTATGCTTTACTGACTATGCCAAAGCCTTTGGCTGTGTGGATCACAACAAACTGTGGAAAATTCTTCAAGAGATGGGACTACTAGACCACCTGACCTGTGCCGGGAGCCAGCACACGAGATCCCACCCATGACAAGATCATGAGAAGACCTGACAAGCAAGGCAGATCAGGACTTCAGGGATTTCGAAAAGCTGCCCCGGCGCTCACCTTAAAGATGATCTCTGTCTTTCTGACGCTTGCTGTATTAGACCACTCCCTAATTTCTGTGACACGGGTAGAAGGCCTTCCCTGATCTCTCTCCAAACAGAATCAACTTAGAACTTGAATCAATATGTCCCCCGGACGGCGGTATCCTATAAGATTATCCAGGATGAAAGGAGTGTTTCAATTTAGACCCCTTTGCTGGCATTCTAGCCTGCTTGGCAAATGCGTACTAATGCACATGACTGCTCACAACACCTTAATCATAAACAGCATAAAGAACCTGATCACACAAAGGGCCCTAATAGGTACAGAGCCCTTCAGGGGTGGGGAAGCCCTATTAGATAACATAAAAATATTATTCTAAAAGTAGTTATAGTTAAAGATTTAGAAAAATAAGAGTTCAGAATTGTTCATTTTAACCAGGAATGCTAAACAGGGGCTGCCTCACCAGAGCTGCAGAGTCTTTGTGTGGTAAACCTTTTAGATAAATTTAACTGATAACTTCTGCAAAAGGACTGACCTTTGTGTTCATTAAAGAATAGATTACGGAAAACAGCTTTGCATTCACCTAGGTCATAAAATGTCAATAGGCCCCAAGGCCAGAAGATAATGTA